CAAGTAGGCAGAGAGGCAGGCAGAGAGAGAAGGAAGCAGGCTCCCTGCTGAGCAGAGAGCCCGATGGGATGATGGGATGATGGGATGCGGGGCTCAATCCAAGGACCCTGAGATCAGGACCTGAGTGGAAGGCAGAGGCTTAACCCACTGAACACCCAGGTGCCCCTATAGAGTGAATTCTTGAATTACATTGGTAGGTTAGTGGGAGGACCAGTAGAGCAAGTCAGGCATAGATTCTTAGAGGAAATGGAGACCTTGAAGTGAAAAAAAGAAAAATGGTTTGGATAGAATGACAGCATTGTTTACTTAATTCTGATGATCCTATGGGAAGAATATTGAACCTTTGCTTAAATTTCATTTAGGAGAAGGTATAGTGGGATTTTAAGATTGATAACTTCCTGTTAGAAACATGATAGAATGGCTGTAGGGATAGTATAAAATATTATAGCCAGATATTTTTCTGGACTGGATTCCAAAAAGGCATTAACAAATTGGGAGGCCTGATACATATATCACACTGTAGAAATAAGGGAACAAGTTGAAAGCTGCAAATGGCTATCATTGAGAATCTATTTATTTAAAAATCTCTACATTTAAATTAGGCTTCTGGGATATGAAATTAGTGTTTTGCATTATGTGGATCTCCATTAATTTAGGGGAGGTAAGTGAATAGTTTCAACATATTTCTTTCAAGAGTCTATCCTTGAATAAGGTAGCTTAAAAAGATGGACAGAAGTAATAATGATGGGATATATTGAGAGCATTCTAGGTCTTTTAACCTTTCACTTTTCTTGGCATTTTGGTCTTTGCTGAGTTTGACCAGTAAAAAAAAAAGTAGGAAAGTAATATAATAGTGGAAAATGGGTCACCAGATATAAAGGGGCCAGGCAGTAATGAATATGTATTTTCTTTAAAAAAAAAAAATTCTTATCAGCTTTAAAAATAAAACCCTTGGGGTGCCTGGGTGGCTCAGTGGGTTAAAGCCTCTGCCTTCGGCTTAGGTTGTGATCCCAGGGTTCTGGGATCGAGCCCTGCATCAGGCTCTCTGCTCAGCAGGGAGCCTGCTTCCCCCCCTCTCTCTTTCTGCCTGCCTCTCTGCCTACTTGTGATCTCTGTCTGTCAAATAAATAAATAAAATCTTTAAAAAAACACCAAACCCTTAAAATCTTTTAACTATTATTTCATTTCTGGGAATTTAAAATAATATTAACAATAAATATGAAAAAAAGTTTTACAAAATTTATTTAAAAAATTGGGAGTGGACAAATTTTTGTCTTAATAAGAATCACTAAATATGTACTTAGCTCATTGTCAGGTATATAGTTAAATGTTTGATGAATATTAATAAGCTCAGCTTCTGATGGAAGGGCAAACAATTGATAGATTGGAGTACTTTTTTTTTTTTTTTTAAGATTTTATTTATTTGAGAGAGAGAGAGAGAGAGAGAAAGAGAGCACAAGCAGGAGAGGCAGGGGCAGAGGGAGAGAGAGAAGCAGACTCCCCACTGAGCGGGGAGCCTGACATGGTTTGATCCCAGGACCCTGAGATTTTGACCTGAGCTGAAGGCAGACGCTTAACCATCTAAGCCACCCAGGTGCCCCTAGGTTTTTTTTTTTTAATTGAAGTATAGTTGACATACAATGTTACATTAGTTTTAGGTTTATAACATAGTGATTCAATAACTCTGTAGTTATGCTGTGCTCACAAGTGTAGCTACCATCTGTTACCATACAATGCTATTACAATACCATTGACTGTATTCCCTATACTGTGCCTCTCATCTCTGTGACTTATTCATTCCATAACTGGAAGGTGCACTTCCCACCCCCGCCCTACTCCCCTCTGGCAACATCCAGTTTGTTCTGTGTCTGTGTTTATGGGTCTGTTTCTGCTTTTTTGTTTATTCATTCATTTTGTTTTTTTAAGTTCTACACGTAAGAGAAATCATAATAGTGTTTGTCTTTCTTAGAGTACCAGTTTTAATTGAAATCAAAATAGCATCTTTATGCTAAACTTGTCTCTTAGCCTTGATTTTTTTTCAAAACTCTGTGGTTTTATTCTAGAATATCTTTTGGGTATGGGGCTTTTAGTATTTAGTGGACTCCTCAAGCTGTCCGCCGTGGATAAGTAAATTATAAAAATGTTCAATTTACTATTGCCATTTAGATTCCAGAAATCAAGCCTAAAGATGTATTGTGTGTGTGTGTGTGTGTGTGTATGTGTGTTTAGGTACTATATGTGGCACAAAATTCCAGAGATACACAAAATTTTAAATCTTTTATCCATCCTTGTACCTCAGCCACCTAAACAAGTACTGTCACCAATTTTTGTGTTTCCTCCTAGAAGTATTCTGTGTATATGCAAGTGTGTGGGAATATATTTTTAAAGTATTTATTTTTACATGAATGGTAGCATACTTTATACATTGCTCTGCAATTTGCCTTTTCCTTTTTTTTTTTTTTAGCTCTCTATACCAGTATACAGCACCACCTTATTCTTTCTAATGGGTGGATACGTAACAAGTCTCATATTGATGGATATTGTGGTTGTGCTAGTTGTTTGCTAATACAGACTGATGCAGCGAATATAGAACATATGTTGGGTTCTAGGACTAGTGGTGCCTTATTAAAGTCTGCTTTATAAGGACTCTCTTATTGAGGAATTCCATCTTACCTTTTGCTAGGACTGTTTATGGAGTGTCAAACCCAAATCCCTGGTGGATATAATGGAAATTGTTAATAATATGGGAATTGTACATATTGCCAAACAGTTTGACTAGTAAGAATAATCCTTTGGGGAAAGAAGCCTCCAGCAGAACATTTTCATAGGGAGGAAGCTTAAATTTAAATTAGGTTACTAGTTTGGAATGAGTCCTAGGATTGTTGCTAGGAGCAGAGGATAATGATAAGAAACAAAGATCAGCTTATAAATTGTTTTCAGAATATTTTCATTTTAAGTAAAGTGAATTAAAATGATTTAAATAAAATGATTCTCACAGGAAGCTTGTGAGTCAGATATTGCTGTTTGCATTTGACAGATGAGAAGACTGAGGCTTGAAAAGGTTACATTACTAGATGCCCATGATCACAGCTGGTGAGGAACAGAGTCATGACTCAAATCTGATTTTCTAGTTTGACCAGCCTGAAATATGAAGCTTTCTTAGTTCATTGTATCCAGTGTCCCTTCCACTCCTTGTTTTGGGTCATAGAAACAGAATAAGGAATCATTAACTTCAAGAGCTATCACTGCTTATCAATGCCATGTCAACCATATCGACCATTTTCCTTTCCTTGAATTTATGATGAAAGTTTACTAGTTTACCATGCCATCATTTACCACTGATTTTTGGTGCTCCGGGAAAAGTATGGTGGAATTACAGCTGCAACCAGCCTTTTTGTTATCTTTAAATCGGCTATTTGGCACATCCTTTTTGTCTTTTTCTGCATTACATGTTGCTGTTTTGGCAGGTTAGTGGCGAAGTGAGAGGGTTAAAAATTCAGTAAAGAAATACATATCGGTGGAGATTTAATCTAATAACTGTAGAAAAGGTGTGAAAGTCAGAAATGTTCCAGTAACTGATGAGGCTTTTAGGCCTGGGACCTCACACAAGATCCTTGGGGCTTAAAGTTGAAAAAATGGGAGGAGGGGTGGGAACAGGACAATAAATTAAAAATAAATATATTATGGCGCTAGGGAAACTTGAATATTAGGCAGCCAGATATTTGCTTTGAACTCTACCAACCATCTGTTTAGTATGAAATTCAGATATAACAATTTTATGGTTTTAACCCAAATCTTTCATTAAAGACATGCAAATTTCATTTATTTTCTTCCCAATTTTGGAATGATCTACTTCATAACACTTCCTCCGAGGTCCAAGATACCCCACTTTCCTGTGATTCTTCTGTAATTTTAAAGGAATTCTTTATTCCTGACACTTATGTGAAATACTGGGATTTATAAGAGAAGGAAGGGTTGTTAATAATGTTTGTTGTATGCATACTGTGTCAGGCTCTACATTTATTAACTCTTGTAATCCTAGGGACAGCTCTCGAATGAATATATTATCCCCTCTTCATAGATGAGAATAACAGGCTAGCTATATCACGCTTGAATCTAATTAGAGAGTTAAGGCATGCACCTACATCCGTATAAAATGAAACAAGATAAATGTTTACAGTGTCAAAGCCAAGATTAGGTGGTAAGGGTGGCCCCGTGAAGCAAAAACTAGCATTTGCAGAGACCACAGGCACACTACCATGTGCCTGCTTCTACAAATGAACTTCCCAGCGTGGCCACACGCTTGCATCCCTAGGATTGAGACCTTGGGGGTGTGAATCCACTGAAGATTCGTGTGTATGAGGAGGTGGGGGGGGAGGAGGAGACGGACTGTCCTCTTGGAAAGCCGCAACGGCGAGCCCTAGGTGCTCTTCATTTAAGGAAGTTGGCTGGGGGAGGGGGCTTGCCCTGCGGCTGCGTCCTGCCTACCCCCCCCCCCTCCGCCCGCAGCTCCCCCCTCTCAGCCGCTGCTGCCGCTAAACCCCGGAGAGCGGAGCGCGCACGTTGAGATTCCTCGGCGGGCCTGGCCGCGGCTGCTGGGCATGCTCAGTGGGCAGGACCCGTTAGAGTGGCGAGTAAGGAAGCGTTGGCTCTTCTCTGGGTCTGCCTTCCCCGGTTCAGGCCCCGGCCCTGGGCTTTTGTGTGCGCAGAGCTGCAGCCGCCGCTGCCTCCTCGCGGGGCCGCCCGACCCCAGATGCCGTCTGGCCTGTCCGGTTTCCGCCGTTAACCTCGCCGCGCGGCTGGAGGAGGAGCGGGGCGGGGCGGGGCCCGCGGGCCGGCGGCCGGGCGGGCAGGAGGGCCCTGCCGGGGGTGGGGTTGGGTGCGGGGAGTCCCGCGGGGGGTGGGGGGAGGGGGCGGGCGCGGAGTCACGGGGGTGGGGTCACCGGCGGTGGCTCGGGGAGGCCAGCTGGGAGGGGAGGGGGCCGTGGGGGCGGCTCGGCGGAACCAGCCGCGGCTGGGGAGCAGCGGCGAGTCCGGGGGCCGGGGCCGGGGCTTTCCGGGCTTCGGTGAAGCCGCCGCGGGCCCCATCTTCCGGCGGTCGCCGGAGTTTGTGGTGATTGTTGCTGCCGCCGCCACCGCCCCGGCTGCCATCTCCTCCTCCTGGGCCGCCGCCTCCTCCTCCTCTTCCTCCTCCTCCTGGGCCGGGCTGATCCCCTCCCCGCTGCCGCCTCCTCCTGGGCTGGGCCCGTGGTGTCTCGTCCCCTCGCGGAGCCGCTCCTGCCGCCGCCGCCGCCGCCTCCTCATTCATCCTCGTGCACCATAGGCGGCACAGGCACCAAGATGTCCAACCGAGTGGTCTGCCGGGAAGCCAGTCACGCCGGGAGCTGGTACACAGCCTCAGGTAGGGCCCCAGGCCGGCCGGCCCGTCTGCCCGCCGCCGCCGCCTGGCCCGGCGCCCGGCCGCCCGAGGTCGGCGGCCCGGCTCCGCGCGGCGGCGGGAGGACCGCGTGGGGAGGGAGCGGCCCGGAGGCCGGCCTCGCCGCCTCCCCCACCCGGGTGGCATCCCGCCGGGCAGCCCGGGGCCGGACGCCCTCTCGCTCACCCCGGAGTTGGGCGAGAGGGAGAGTCGCCGCCTTGGCAGCCTGCGCCCTCCCTCGGGACCGGGCTCGAGGCAAGAATGTGCTCCCGGAGCTCCCGGACCCGAACCTACTTGTCGCCTCCTGGGGCTCCGGGGAAGCGGGCGGCCGAGCGCTGCCACCCCCGGGAGGACGGTTCGCCCGGCGCCCGAGCCCGGCTTCCCCCACCCGGAGCCGAGGGAGGGACGCGCGTTCCTGCGCTCGCGGTTGCTCCCCGCCGGCGGTGCGAGAGGCGCCCGCGACCCGGGCGGTTCTCTGGGTCTGGCCGTGTGCGCCACGGGCTCCGCTCACCCGTCTCCTGCGAGGAAGTCTTCTCCTTCTTCCGCCGGCGGTTCGGAGACGGGCAGCGTTCCCCTCACCTTTCAGGTGCTCGGCTGTCTGGAAAGGAGTGCCGGGTAGTACTTTTTCACGTTGCCAGACGAGAGACGAGGTCTCCGCCTGCGAGATCTGGTAGAGGAGGGCCTTTTCTGGGCTGTGCAGCTCCTGTGTGTTGGGGGTAGGGTAGAAGTATTGCCAAGCAGTGGCTTGGGGTGGCCTCTCAGCTCTTTTGTCAGTGTTTTCATTGTTACTGTCATTCGCGGAAAGGGGCAGCTGGAGATGGCATCAGCACTTTGCTCAGCAGCCTCGCCAGTCTAGTCGCTCACCACCGAGCAGGTGCTGGAACTACCTAGCGAATTAGATTAGGGTCTGCGCGAATTTAGCCTTCTGTCGACACTGTCTGCAAACATTTCAGACGTCTTTATGTAAGAAAGCCTAGGGACTTTCCCTTTAACGAACGTCTTGTTAGGACGACTGTTTCCTGGGATTACTTTCAGGAGTCACATTTCTGGTAAGTTAACAAAGAAAGTTCCACTGTGATTCCTAATAGTGTTCAGTCATTTGCTATTGGCTTGTCAGTAGACTAGAGCTAACTTTAATGTGGATCGCATCATGCTTCCTTTTGCATATAGTTGGGTTGGGTAGTGCCATGGCTTGTGAGACAACAAAGATTTGGAAGAAAATCCTTTCTCTGAAGTTGCTAAACGGACTCACATATACATGCACTTTACTGACTCACTGAAGATTTGCTGTGTTAAGTAGACACAAAAGAATCCTAATGATTGGATTTGCAAGCCTAACAGGTAGCTGTATTTTTGTACTAAGCAAGTGACATTTGGCTTCCCTTCATGATCCTAAAGTACTTCATAAACGTTTAATCAATTCCCACAGTCTGAGAATGTCAGTTAAGCTTTTCTTGTTCTACATATGGGGATGTGCCCAAGACTCGGTAGGAGCCAGTGGCGGTACAGAAATTGAGAAATAGAAGAGTCCCTGGCTCCTGGGCTTGTCCTCCATTAAGTGCATTATTAGTATTCAATTTATCAATGCATAATTGTCTTTTCTGGGTTCCAAGTCAGTAAGCTGCTTTCTTCAATGTGTTTTCAAGTCTCAGTTTTCACTTTCATGGCCATCTTTTGATTTACTTCTTTTGGTTCTGTTTTCTATATCTTTCTATAAGTGTTTTATACTTTTTAATGTAGTTTGCCTTGAAATTTGGGCAAATTGATTCTGGAGGAATTTTTATAGATTCTTGAATATTCTTTGGGTAGTAAAATAAAGTATGGCTCACACTTTGGACTGAAAAGACTTCGTCAGTAATCTCAGTTATAAGAAGAATCCTTTAATCCAGCTCAAAACATTCTCTGATCATAGCTATTTATCAGTAGTGAATGAAAATGAACTATTTTCTTTCTCTTCTTACTTTTTTTTATGGTGTTACATTAGTTTTAGCTATAAAATATAGTGATTCAACAATTCCTAAAATGGACTATTTTCTTAAAAATTTGAAATGTAATCTTCTTTCCCTAAATTCTCAATGAAATCAATAATGCCATTTTGATAATGTGAATTGTCCTAGAGAAACTTATTGTTAAAAAATTCAAAGCATGTGGGGCACATGTGTGTGTGTGTCTATGTGTGATTTTAAACTTAAGTAATAATAAAGGGTGAATTTAAAGCAATGTAGTTGTTAAAGCTTATTTTATATTTTAAAAATAATAATAAATAATAAAAATAAATGAAGTAAAAATAGTTAAGTAAACTTTGACTTGGTCTAGTAACTTACTTAACAGTATCGCATTGTGCCTATGTTGGCAACATTGACCAATGGAAAACTTTTACTTGTGTTATTATTGTTTCCCTAGTGAACTTGCTGTGAAAACTTGAGTAATAGGAGAGACAGATGTGATTGTGGATTGTCATTCTATCCTTCCTACAGCATTCAGATCATGTCCATAGAATTAAAGTTTTTAGTTACTGTTATAAGTAAGGGTGAAATCACATTTGCTTCAGTTACATAGCTAGCTCAGAGGGAAAAAAAAGAGAGTGTGTGTGTAAGTATATGTTATGTATGTATACACATATATGCTTTCATTTTTATTTCTCTCTTGTTAATATACTAGCCCTTTGATAGAAGTATAAATTATTCTTTGTTCTCAAAGAATTTACAGTTTATTTGAAGTAGGTCTTAAGATAGCAGATAAACTTTGGATCCATTGAGGTAGTGCTTTTAGGAGTTCTGAGGATTATGGAATCACTTCAAAGTAGGATTTGAATTGTGATTTGAAGGAATGGTGTTTAGTTCTGTTAGAGAGGAGAAAAGAACATTGGGGAAAACTACAAAATACAGAGGCAAATAATGTAAGGAGGTCAATTTAATAAGAATGTAAGATTCGTACTGGAGTATATAGTTCTTGAGCCTGGAGTAGTAGGTTGGTGCTAGAGTATGGATGCCTGTGAGTGCTGTGCAGCATAGTGATTTGACTTACTCAGTAGGCAGTCAGGACCTAGGGAGAAGTTTCTGAGTAGGGAACTAATATGGAAGTAGCATTTTAGGAAAATTAATCTCCTGGGAAGGTTAATCCTCACTTCTTTACTCTTGTATAGCAGGGATCAGCAAACTATGCCCGCAGCCCAGATCCAGCCTACAGCCTTTATCTTGGTCAAGTCTACTAGCTAAGAACGGTTTGTAATTTTCAAAGGGTTTAAAAACAAACATAAACCAAGAAGTGTAGTAGAAACTGCCTGTGGCCCATAAAGCCTAAAATATTTATTATTTGGCCCTTTAGAGAAAAATATGCCAACCTGTAGTGTAGATTAGTGGTTTTCAAAGTGCTTTCTCTAGACCAGCAGCATAATGTGTCTGAACTCTGTATTTTCTCTATATTTTGTATAGCTTTTATTTTATTTCAGGCTCTTACTATCTTCTGTCAAGACAGTTATAACTGCCTCTTAACCAGTCTTCTTTCTCCTAGCCTTATCCTCCTTCAGTTCATCCTCTGCATCACTCCCTGAATAATCTGTCTGACCACATAATTCCTTTGCATAAATCTTACTGACCCATCTTGCCTGTTGGAAAGGTCTAAGTTTCTTCATGACTTGGCATCCTCCTATCTCTTGGGCCACTCCTTCTCACCCCATCCCAGTCCTTGTTTTTACCACCCTTAGGCAACATGTAGCAGCTGCAGTTGTTTCTTTAAGTACGCTGTGCTTTTACACAAGCTCTTTGCTCTGTTGGAATGCACTTTGCCTGGATGATTCCCACTCCTTTAAAGACTCAGGTGTTCATACCCCCACGAAGGCTGTCCTAATGCCTGACCTCTCCCAGGATGTTTTTGTTGTTCCTTTGTACTTCCATAATGTCCTGTGTGTATCTCTGTACATTTATTTGGTTTTCTTTATGTGTGGTTGTCTTCTTCTTCTTTCTTTCTTTTTTTTTAAAGATTTATTTATTTTAGAGAAAGAGGGAGAGAGTGAGGGGAGGGACAGAGGGACAGAATCTCAAGCAGACTTCCTGCTCATGACCCATGAAATCATGACCTGAACCAAAACCAAGAGTTGGATGCTGGACTGACTGAGCCACCCAGGTGCCCCCGTGTGTGTGGTCTTCTATAAGGTTAGGAACTCCTCAAAGCTAGGAACATTGTCTTGCTCTTTTTTTGTATCTTAAGTACTCAGCACAGTAGGTGCATAGTAGGTATTCAGTAAGTATTTGAATGAATGAATGAATGTTAAAGTGCTTGGCATAAAGTAACTATGGACAAAGATATTGATTGTTTCAATCCTGAAGAGCAGTGGGGGTGATAAAGGACTACTGCTGGTTAAGTCTCTGAGTATGGTATCGGTGAAGAATGTTGCTGGTGGGAAAGGATTAGAAATCCTGATTCACCAGTTGGATCCCCATTTTATCTAAGATTTTCAGAGAATCGTGACATACATATAGAAAAATGTACAACTAGATGAATTTTCACAAAATAAGCACATTTATTTAATCAGCACCTAGCTCAAGAAACATATCAGTACTGGAATCCCCAACCCTTACTGTGTTCCTGCTAACAGTAGAAAAGTTTTGTCTGGTTTTGAAATCTACATAAAATAGAATCATAAAGTATATCTTATTTGAGCTTCTTCTGTACGATATTAAATTTAGGAGATTAACGCTTGTTGTGGTTTGTTTCTTCTCATTGCTGTATTCTGTTATGTGAGTATACCATAGCTTATCCATTCTACTGTTGGTGGATGTTTGGTTGTTTTGCCGCAATGAGTTTATTTATGTATGTATGCAGGCTCCATACCTAGTGCGGGCGTGGAGCCCAGTGCAGGGCTTGAGCTCACGACCCTGAGATCCAGACCTGAGCTGAGATCAAGAGTTGGATGCTTAACTGGCTGAGCTACCCAGATGCCCCTGCAATGAACATTTTTGTACTTTTTTTTTCCTGATGAATAT